GAGATAATTCGCATACTGCCTGGGCAGACCTGGAGGCGCCTGGAGCAAGGACAACGATTCAACAAAAAGAAGCACCGCCAAAGAGCGGTTCATGATGGACAAAAGGAAGACAACCAAAGGCGATTGTAGTGAAAGCATTCAAGCCTGAAATCGGCCAAACATTAAGTGAGGGCGGGGTCCACCGGAAGGTGGGATCTAGGATATGAAAGTAAAGATTAAAGATATAGGTGGACCAGATATAGGTCACTAGTGTGTGTGTATTTTTCGTATCTGTGTCTGAAGGGGATGTGACTTGTGACAGGCTTGACCACGGGGGATACTAGCAAAAACACACGCATAAACATCATCCCAGTACCCTAGGATTAGGTGGGAATGTCAACATGAGAGACGAGACGAGTTTGCGTTTCGCAATTCAGGGGGAAAAAGGGAAGTGGTGCATTTTCACACGAGCGGTTATAACATAAGTCTGACATGCGTCAAAGAATAACACTTAATCTGGGTGGGGATGAGAAGATAACCGAGTCAAGGGTTTGAAGCCTATGAAGAGGAAAATTCTCAGGCAATGGCATGTGCATGGACATAGTCATGGGCATCATCTGCTCTAAATCTTCGAATAAGGCGTAATCAGGTACGGGAAGTGAAGGCCCTTAGGCAGCCATATTTCAGACAGCCAAACAGTGATTGTGGGGTCTGGCAGCAACCAATTGACAAAAGAGGTAGGAGCAAATGGGGGCTGAATGGAGGACAGGGGTGGAAACGGCACCTGGTAGCGGTTGTGGAGATAATTACGCTTCAACAAACTCACTTGTAGCAACACACTCTTAGGCGACATTGGGAAAACGAGAGCAGAGAATGTTGTGAATGTGTAACGGGGCAATATGAAGCGGGGTTGAGAGAAAGAGATGCCGCACAAGACAAAAAATAGGGACGAGAAGTGATGCCAGAACAGTTAAAAAATAAATTGGTCAGGAGGACTGCCTGAACTTGTCAATTTGATAAGTTGTAACTCTGTGCTTACGATAGCGCCTCTCACTGACGATGCTGGCGAAACGTTTGGGAATGTACCAAGTCGATGGTCCGATGCTGAATATCCCGGATATAATGGCATAGGACACAGGATTAGGTACGTTCCACAAGGTCTCTTTGAAGCTCTGACCAAGTTGCGAAAACGAGATCGAACCAACAGTATATATATTAATCGAAGGTATGAAGACCAAGATGGTGTGGCCTTTTGTGTGGTCGTAGACTCCTTTCGTTGAATAGAGATTTCTTGACCTTATTTTCGCAACTTGGTCATATTGGAAGGAAGACTTAAGGGAATGCACCTAGTCCGGAGTCCATTGTATGCATGATCACTTCCAAAGTCGGACCATGGACGTGGTGCATTCCCAGACGTTTCGCCGGCATCATCAGTGAGTTTTGCCAGTCGTAGAACCATATTACAACGAGTCAGAGACAAATGAAGCCGATCCTTTGACCAAACGTGTGCTAAACAGTTACGGTATCTCCTCTTCTGCCCTGGGCTATTCATATTTCCTATATCCTCCTATCACGCCTTCACTGTCACAATTTTTTAAAGTGCTTATTTAGATGTAGTCTGTTGTGGTCCTCTAAGCGGCATTCATGAAAGCTCTTCACACTCCACGCTGTCGTTCTTACCCCCTTCACCCTTGTGCTGGAAATATGAATCAGTCTGCCATATTGTTACACAGGCCTCCTTTCCTAGGTCTTATCACAGTCTCTCTCTTGCCCCGTAAGATCAGTCTGCTCTCTCCCTGGTTCACGTATTTCGCTCAACCCCTGTCAACCCGTCTTTGCTACTCGACGCGTTATTCGCCCTCCCCTGCGTCTGGGTGACTAATTCGAGACTCAAGCCTCTGAGTAAGTCTCATTGTCAAGCCTTTGCTACATGGACCACGTCTATGGTAAAAACAAACCTACTGTCAGCCAACTAGGTCCAATCACTGCCGCGTCTTTCCTGTTTCCATCCGTAATACCAAATCTATGACTTGA